GAAAAATAATTACAGTCAACCGCTAGTTGATTGGCCATTCCTTCTTTTTCTAGTAGAGTTCACTATTTCTAGCTTAACTCCACTTACTATTATGAAACCACCTTGTCATATATTCACTTGCGAATGAAACTACGGATGGACCCTTAGAATCACTCACTATCATTTACTTTTCTTCAATTTAAAAAAATTTTAGATAGTTGAACTCGAAAATACTTATTACGTGAATAAACAAATTTGTAAACATTGTTACATTATAATAATATAACATATAATATTATTATAATAACATTATAATAATATGATTTAATATTTGGTATAAATTATACCAAAATAAATTATTCCAAACAAATTTCTAAGAAATCTCTTAATTATAAACGACATTTGTCTAAAGACATCAATTTCTCGTTTTTCAACAAATGCTTCAAAAAAAGACCAGCTACGAGGAATTTCCGAAAAATGATTCAGCCCTTCATCTATTGTTCTTTGGCGCATTTGCTCTATTCTCTCTGGACCAACTTTTTCGATTATTCAAAGTAATAACCTATATTTTTTGTACTTTTGCATTTTCTGTGAGCCTAGATTGATTGCTTTATGATACACTGATCCATAACAAAAATCTTAAGTCCCTGAATTCATATTATAATTGTTTCAATGCAGTGGGATGAATCGGAAAAAAAAAACGAATAAAATAAAGATGTGCAAAAGACAAAAGATAAAAATTATTTGAAACGATACTTTGGATTCCATACCTCTTAGCCAATTTAACGTTTTAACGTTGCCCTAAGAATAAAAATTTCACAAAATCGTTCTACGCAATAATTCGACATAAATTGCAAGAATTACTTACCCAAAAAGTAATTCCCAAAAAATGATAAAAATGATAAAAAGGTGAGCCAATAAGGCAGAAATGTGGGAGAAAACCAGGCTTCATATATTTTATTGCAGCAATAAAAATCAGTTTGGCAGCACGCTTGCAAGTCATATGTTTTGCAGTAATTTGTTCTATTTTTTCCCTTGTATGACTGAAAAATTTCTCGTTTAATCAAACTGGTTCAAAATATTGAATTTTTACATTAAACTGAATTAAACTGAACTTTTTTAAAGCAGAAATCTGCGATTGACTAACAAACTTCATAATCATCATGTTATTTGATCGAACTTTGCAGGGTAAAGACAATCTTCACACAATGCTCCATTTAGTCCTATTGAAAAGGGGAAAAATAACGATAATCTTTTTTCCACATACTCCAGTGAAAGCATTTAACAGATTGTTCAATGAAACTTTTAATGAAAGGAAAATAACTGCAAATATATTATAATTGGAATACTCAAGGTCGAAATATACTAGAACATTCCACCTTATGCAATAATAAACATTAGTTCCATGCAGCTTGCAATTTTTTAAAATATGTATGTTACATTATTATTACATAGGATGCAAATAATGCAGCAGGAACAATACAACACAATGAACTGATTAATATCTGATAAATAGCTGATTAATAAAATTTCTGCTTAAATTTTTCTCAGTTAAATATTGTAACTATTTTTTCGAACTAATTGTACAGAAAACAACGCCTTTGGAGCTCGGCGATTCTTACTTCCAGTATATAATTTCCCCAAAGTTTCGGGAATCCGCTCCATTGTGTAGTCTGTCTTGAATTTAAACTTCTTGCCACACGGGACGTCTTAACTGCCAAAAATAACTATATATTCCTCGGCCAGAATTCTCCTTACAAAAATCTCACTGCGAATGTTCGGACCTTCAAACTTGTATAATTAAATCGTTTATTTAATATATAAACATAAAACATAAGAAGAACAGGAGAAATGTAAGTATTAGAGGAAACATTAGCAATTCCTATAACGGTGAAGCGGCATGCGCATATCCCGAATGACAAATCTTTGTAAGATGGATATGGCACTCAGTAGTGCCACGCAAGAATGACAGCAATGAATACCGTCCCTACCCAACGCTTCTCAGATCCCAACCCATTTTCCACATCAGTTTTTTCAAACCTCCACCCTCCCTTCCCTCACAATAAACCCAAAATGGCAGAAAACGGTCTCTTGGGAACTTATATTCGATTTGAGATGAGCGGAAAGAAGAATCATGTTTGTCTTCCATTCTCTGAAAATAGAAGCTATCTTTATTGTATCTCTCACTCATTAAGTACTCTATTATTACTCCGTGATATTTTCTAATATCTTTTCCAACTCTTTCTTATTTTCCTAATGGTCTCGCTGGGAAAGAGACGCATAGCAGGTATGATGCGGATGACCTACTCATATTCGCAACTATCTTCACCATTCGGCGTGCCTAATACTGTTAGCTCTAAGGCATTACATGAAAATATAGGTCGTCAATAATTTCACTCTATTGGAAACTGTTTGATTCTGCTGGAGTTATTTGATTTATCATCGTGATGACATAAGAAATTGTAAGAATAACGACTGATGAAAAAATTGGTTGGTAATTAGAAATTTTTAGAATAAAATTTTTTGGCTTAACGAAATTAGTGATGAGCAATGATAGAATGACTGCATCCCAAAATTTTTCATCACTGCAAGCAGAAATGTAATAATATAAGTTTCAGTGTTTGATTTATTAAAAATGAGAACCTTAATAAGCCTTAAAATGATTCTACAATAATTTTTAGAAAATAATTTATTCACCAAACAAAGTGTAAGAAACTCATACAATAAAAACTGGAGATTGAAGAACCAGAAATCTTAAAACACGCAAAAAAAATAAGATGCTTGCTTTATCTTGCGCAAATTATTATGAAAATTAGTTAACGGCACAACGCTTAAAATAATGAGGAGCATAATAAAATGTTTGTGGCATTTAAAGGGTTTAATAAAGGAGTGAAAGGTCTTGGAATTTGATGAGATTTTTATTAATTGCTGAACTGAAGTGCTTTTGATAAGTAAAGGAAAAAAAATTTGAGAACAAAGATTCTATTTACGAGTGAATTTATTTTAGGCTAATTATAAGCCGCAACTGCACTAATTAGCATTTATTATTATTATACTCAGTTCTAGGAAGTTTACGGAGTTCCAACAACAATAGTGATTCTCTACTAGCCTTGCTGACAAAAGTAATCGACAAATGTAACTAAATAGTGCGCCAAAGCTAATCCCATTGCTCTCTTCTACAGTCGACAAAACTCTCTATTTGAAAAAATGATCCTTAAACGTCATCTTTGAACATTATTTAATTCAAATCGCATTATTTAAGCAAATTTGAAAAAAATCGACTTCTTTTCTTCCAAAATTTTCGGCTAAAAAAATGATAGAACAATCGAAGAATTTTCCAAAATCGTTATCATACGAGAAAAAATGTTATCCCGAAAAATATCATCGAATGTTACCATTCTTATTACACCATTTTCAATAATTAAGGCAATAATAAGGCAATCATATTTACAACTGCAGTCAAATAAAATTTGATTGAATTGACCATGGCCAGCTAAAATAGCTGCCCTTGTTACCTAAAATTTCTCGTTCACAGATTGCTTAAAATTGAAATTTCATGAATGGATTTCAAGCAATCCGTGAACAATTTTTGCATTCTTAATATATGCCATAGTCATCAAATCCATAAAAGATTCTAATAGCTTTCGCCCATCTAGTTATTGTTATTTTCGTTTAACAGTTCGCCCTTTTCCTCTCAACATTTTTTCTATCGCTCTTCCTCTCGCCACTTTCTTGTTACAATTTGCGAATTTATAATCTGTTGTTGCACCGCGAGACTTGGAGAGGCGTTAACGGAACGTAATCGAGATGTTGGCGATAGAGGACCAAAAAGAGGACAAATTTCAGGATGATAGTGTTAGTGTCTGATTGTATTAAAGTGGCAGAAATTCTAAGATGATAATACTAATGGATTATTGCATGAGTATAACGGAACTTTAGAAAGCTTCATTAAAGAATATTCAAACGGTATACAATTTTCTATTCTTTGATAAGTTTTGAAGCGGATCTCTTAAGGGTTTCAACATAATGAACCCAAGCTCGATGCCACGGTTGCGGATGTAACAGTTTCGTCAAAGAAGTGCGACAATGGATGTGCGAAAAGGTTACATGTGGGGCTATTCAATGAGGCGTGGTTTGCGCAAATTTAGAACTGTATCGTTGCTCTAAAGGATTTTTTATTCCTCTCTAGTACTCTTTCTGCTGGGATAATTTTTGAAAAACAATGAGAGGGAGTGAGTGAGGAGGAGGGAGGTGGTTCCTTTTTTCCATTTTGCGTGTTGTTTCTCTAAGTTTTAAGTTTTAATGAATGTGTTCTAAATTTTTGATTTTTAAAGCTTTTTTTCTTGCGAATTCAGTATTATCGCAGGAAATTTTGTTTTTCGCTCTTTTCTAAATCTTCTTTTTTTTATTTTCGAATCTCACTTTTTCTCTCTTTCATTTTTTTATTCTTCGTCATTTGTAATATTTATTATTCTTTTGATGATTTATTCTAAGTTTTAAAAAAATTGTTCTCAGTGGTTATTACCTTTGTGAGGGAGTAGAAAATTGTTATTCACCTTTGTTCGAATATCGTTTTCATATCAGTGTTGTTGCCGTCGCTTGTGTTGGCTAGGAAGCTAGTTCTTGGTCATAGGTGTGCGCACACATCTATTTCTATTTCTGCATCAAACGTGGAGGAAGGTGAAGTGAGAGGCCGACCGAATCAAAACTTCGACTGATGTGGCTACACGAGATTTTGAATTTGGCTGAAGTTAGATCAGTGGAATCATTGTATTCATTAATGGTCTGCAAGATCAGAAAAAGGCAAAGAGAAAGTATATCTGATAACAGGAAAAATATTTTCCGGCTATGGCAAAAATCAAATTCATGAACCATTTTTCATTTATTCTTTATCATTCTTACGTTTTTCATGAGCAGTTTTTAAAATAATTCGAAATTGATTGTTCAATTTTTAAATATTTGGAATTTTAGAAAATTTACTACAATTATTGTGAGAGCTAATTTTGCATTTGCAGTTTCAAATGCTGTGTAGAGCAATTTTTCGTAGTCATATTTATCATGCGACAACTCGAGTTTCATATAGTAAGTTTGTTTAAATTGAATGGTTAAGTACATTAAATTGAAACTCACTTGAAAATATTATCCGGGTGTTGTGAATATATTAGATTTACAAACAAATTGTCCTTTAGTATCTTTTTTAGTATCTTAGAAATATCTTTTTTTTTATATTGATTCAAAATTATGATTGTTAATTTGTAAATGGGAGTGGTAAATTAAGGGTATTAAATTGCTATAGACACGACGAGAAACTTGGATTATCGAAGGCGAAGGTTAGAGGTTTTCGATGCTGAGAAAAAGCGCCAGTTGCAAAACATTTCAGTCAAGAAGGTTGTTTTTTTTCAAAAAAATTTCCAAAATTTTTATGTATTGTTTATTATTGTTATTTTGTAAATATTATGTAAAATATGTATATTATTGTTTTTTATCAGGTTTGTATAAAAGTTTTCGGTAATGATGGTGAATCAAAGGTTCTGTTAATGAATGATGGAATTTCTTCCTATTTTGATTGCATGAGACGTAAGTAATTTAGTTTTGTTTTACTCGTCTGTTTTTTTGCGTGGAAATTTTTATTTCAAGTTTTATAAAGTCTATATTCTTCAAGTCTATATTCTTTGATATGACACTTTTTAGTTTTTTAGATATGTCGCGGTTAAAAGCAGAAAGAACCGCACTTGTGCGCTTACTGAACAAATCTGAAGATGCTTTCTTCTCAGTTCACGACAGAATTAATGGTGACTCTGAAATCGAACTATTAGGATTTAATAATATGATATATTATGATTACGTTAATAAGGTTGGTGCTTCAGACAGCTTCACCTTTCTTTGTTCAGTTCAGAATCGAATCTACTCTTTTTGATGAAAATGAAACAGCATAACACTGAACCATTCTATTCCGTTTTTCATTGAAGCGATAATATTTGCAAAATCATTTTTAGGCTTATTGGCGGACTTGTGCATATATTCTTGGTGCTATTATCGAAAATTCATTCCGGAACCAAGTCCATCTTATCAGACCCGAATCGTTAGATTGTAAGTTAAAGCATTAAAAATATCCATTTCAGATTCATAATTCAGTTCTGACGATTCATAATGCAGTCTGATAATCTATTAATATTATTTAGTATTAATATTATTCAATGTAATATTACATTTTAATCTGTTTATTTGCACCGAATACCATTTTTATGTAAACGCAAGAAAATTATCGTTTGCTGCTTAATCTAGTAGTGAGCAACGGTAAAAAAATTATCCTTGCGTTTGTTCTTAATTATTATTATTTATGTCGATTTTATAATTTTGTTATTCTGGTCAGAAATGTTTTATTAATAATTATTAGGATCATCAATTTCTTACTGTGAGTAATTTTCGTTAACACATTTTTCTTTTGTTTTAGATAAAAGTGGAAGATTTGCATACAGAGTTGAAATAGAAGATTTAAACGGCTGGAAGGCTAGTCAGGTATTAATAATCAATTTATAATTATTTGTGGACGATTTCGTTCTTCACGGTATTATTCGCATTAACTCATTTGTTAAAACTCTAATTTAATCAGTTAGTTAATCAGTTAGTTTTTCTAAAGGATGATCTTGCCGTTCTCAGTTTGTGTATAAGTGAATTTATATCTCGAAAGTTACCATTTGAATCACTTCGAGTAACGCGTCAAGTGGCCGCAATCATATTCCGTGATAATAAGTAATGGTTTGTTTTATGGTTGCCGTTGATTTATTTTCCACAAGTATTTCAACAAAGCCTTTTTTAATCCTAATTTATTCCTGGTTCATACTCTATATAGTTACGCTGAATTCCACAAATTTTAGGTGGAAAATCGAATCACTGGAAGAAGAGGATGAAGAATTATTTGTATTTAAGTTGGGAAACCATGTTGACATTTGTGATGGACCACTTATTAACAACTCCAGTCAGATTGGCAAATTCGCTGTGACTAAAGTACGCTGTAGAATTTCCTTCTTTTTGCACTTTTTCATGTTTTTTAAAATTTTACGAATTGGATTTTTTCATCGTCGAATTGGACCGTTTTAAAAATTTATAATTAAGGTGGATTACGAGGAATCATGTTTGTGTTTCTATGGAGTTTCATTGCCGGCTGAACAAAAATGCACTTCTTATACATGGGATTTATTAGTCGCTGCTTCTCGTCAATCAGAAGAAAATTATGGAATCTGACAAATTTTCCTTGCGTTTAAATGAAATAATGAAAGAATATATATGTATACGTTTTCGGAAAATGAAGGAAAAAAACGAAATTCAAATATTTAAATATAGAAATATAGAAAAATTAAAAACGGTTGAAACAAATTTTATGCAACCGCATCAATGATCATTAATAAGGTTGACAACAATTTTCTCAAACTAAAAAATTTGGGGATAGTGAGCGTATTTCAAACCGATTTATTGCAGCTCTTCAGTGATATAAATATCGACTTCTGAAATGGCAGATGAATACTGGTCGCAATTGAAGGGTTATCATTTAAAGTCAGCTAAAATATGCCAGTAGGAAGTGCGATAGTTGGGTATCTAAAGCAACTCTCTAACTGTCTGGAAAAGTTGTTAACAGGAGAGCTTGGCTATTGAGTGCTTCGAAGAATTGCAACAACAGCAGCACGGCAGGATATTAATCACAGTTGGAGCGAGATGGCATTGAGAATGGAGGTGTAAGTTCGATTGGGCAACAATAGAAAAGTATTCTTAATGAAGCAACTATAACTTGGGGAACGGACAATAAAATGGTACGGTATGGTGTTCTCATTAAAACTATCAAGGATCACATCTTAAGTTGGAATTCTTTGAGGCTAGACCGTTATGCGCCATCTGTTGTCCCGGACATCACTTGTCTAGCCATATATTTACAACTGCGAGCAGCCAGCAGAACAGGAAATGATCTCTGTTATACAGAAGCTTAAGACAAGTAAAACTCTCGGATAAGATGAGCTGCGAGCTGAATTCTTCAAATGTTGCCCTTCGTTCTTCATAACCTTCAATTTTCACCTTCAATTTTCTGGTATGGAAGAAAGAAATAATACCAGATGGGAAAGAAGTAATTCTATTTTCAATTCCCAAGAAAGGTGAAACGACATGCTGTAGTAATTGCCAAGGAATTAGCCTGCTAAACATTTCCGGGAGAATTTTCGCATGCCCTAAGCAAGCCTAGACCAGGGCTTCTTTGTGCTGACCAGATATTCACGTTAACAAGGATGCTAAAAATCGCTTCAAATATCAGCAATCTGCCGTTATTTGTTTCAGGTAACTATGTTCCAGACGAGATCATTCAACTTGCAAAGGCATTTAACCGGCGTACATCGACCCAGATCTGTACAGCATATGGGGAACTGAGAGACTTTGAAAATGAGAACTGGTTTTAAGGCTGTATTCCTTTCCTCACAGTATTCAAATATGCGATACACTGGATAATGAACAGCGTTTGTCGGCACTCAAGACATGTACAAATCAGTCCAGAGTATTGTTTCGCAGATCTTGAATGCGTAGTCCCTCTCGTTGAAATGCAAATAATGCTAAACTATTTGTAAACAACTGCAGTGACAATCGAACTCAGGATCAGTGTAAATAAAACGTAAGTTTTTTTGTCTTATTTACAAGAAGTCGATAAAATACCTATTTCTATCAATTCATTGCCGGTTGAGAAAATTCCCGACTTCAAATATCATGGATCCAGTCCAAACCCAAATGGCTAACAAAAGGATGAAATTACACCTGGGCAACGGCAGCTAGAAATGCGTTCTTCCGGTTAGCGAAATTTTCATGGAGCCGTCGCGAAATTACCGTCGAAGGAAAGTCTGCATCCATACAGTTCTATAGACCAATGAGAGTGGAGGATGTTAAAAAGTTATCTATCTATCCTTGACCTTCATGTCTAAGATATATTTTACGAGTTCGATGATCGGAATAAAATCTCACATAAATGCATCCATCTTCGCTCAAATAGCTGCATTAACAGTACATTAAATCGTCGCGCTGGTTAGGGCGCATTCTTCGTCATCCACCGCTAGATTTAACATATATTTCGTTACTTGCTAAATCCTGTGATGGATGACATCAAAAGTGATGGAGCAATCAAGACCTGAACTGATACAATCAGAAAAGATTTCAAATGTATAGGTGGATCAGCAATATATGGACTTAGGTGGTGGAAAAATAAATGGCTATTACTGTCAGCGGACATCAGATCGAACAGGTTGGAAACATCTTACCCTTTAGCTAGCAGAACATTAGAAGACGAAGAACCCTTATTCCTCAATTTTCTTGACCCCTATATTGCTATATTTTCAAATGCATCACTCTTTGTCTTTAATTATCAAAGAAACATGATGGCGTTATTCAGGAAATCATCTAAATCCTCTATTTTATTCTGTTGAGAAAATTGGTAGTGTTTTTGCGTTCCATTTTCTAGTTTTTTTAATTATTATGTTTAATTTATTTTCCAGCAAATGGTTTTGTTTATTTAATGAGGCTGTCCTTTTTGTAGTAAAAAGAAAAAATTTTATGAAAAAATAGATCTAAACAATTGGAAAGAATTTGATAAAATTTGATTAATCGGCGAAAAATTTTATTTTCTCGTTTCAACAATAAAATTGTTTCCTTGCATAAAGTTTGTCCTTAAATTTGTGCTTTTATGCATGCTTATTATTCATGAGATGGGAGAAGCAACAGTTTATTGTAGTGTAATGTTTATATATAAACTGTACTACCGATATTTTTTCAAGGGTTACATTGTTTTCATTAGACTTAAAGCGTTGCATGGATTTTGAAAGTCTCTAAAAGGAATTTGCAGATTTCGTCACGACTCACGACCTTAAACAACTTCCTTCATCACCCATCTTTTATCATTCTCAAACAAATTGATTAAAGCAAAGTTAAAATCGATATTAGATGGGATAGGAAGTCAATTTTAGAAAAACCATGGCTTCAATTGTAAGAAGAGCTTTCTCAAAAGCATCGATGGGAATCAGTACTCACATGACCTATAAAATTAAAACAAATCTGGAATGACGTAAAAATGTTCCATGTTGGATGATCAATGATGGCCGCAATTATGAGGCTGTGGGCCATGGCGTTATTATTCTTTATACATGGCTCGGGCCACGTTTTCACGGTAAATTTGAGATGATTTGTTCATAGTCGGCTTAGATTGGTGGTTGATTTTTTAAAACTTCTGTAAATTATGATCCGTGCATTTTTCTTAGACTGGGTTCCCCTGGTTTTCCACCTGAATTTTTATTCTTATTCCCAGGTTTCCTTACCTTCTTTTTTGAGTAATTTGGGTTCCAATATTTTTCTTTATTCATCTTGCGAGGATTTGATTATTCGCAATTATTTCATGTTCAGTTTTTCTATACTATTTAAATTGTAATTGTTGTTCTTTTTTCATTTTCACTTTCATTTTTATCGTAATAATTAACTCGTAATGAAATACAAAATTTATATTTTTCAAATGATTTGCAGTGTTATTTTATTTTTTTGCCGGGATTTTTCTGAAATTACGCTTTGAAAATTTTGATTACATTTTTTGAGATGGGAGGAGAAAATGCGGCGTCGTTGTGAATCATCTTCTCATACTTCTTGTAAAAATGAAATTTTCGATGATTTTGCCTATCCAAGGCATTGCGATTTATGTCAGCCATTGTTTATGATCAGCGATCCATCGGACTTTGCGCGTCATTTACGACGTATTCATAGTACAAAGGAAGGAGGATCTTTTGTTTGTAGGTCTGATTATTCTATTTTTTAACTCAATTTTTTGTTAAATTTTTCGTTGTATTGACGTGAAACTAGTTGTTATATGATGCAATAACGGTACGATTCTAGTAGATTCTAGATTCTCGCGAAATTACTATAAAGCCGAAAATCCGAGTCCATGTAACCGCAATTCGTTCTCATGTTTAAGACACATTTTACGGATCCGTCGAGCGGATTAAATCCCACATTATTATATCTATCTTCGCTCAAATACCACCTGTAATGTTATAATAATGTTATCACAGAGCGTCGCCTTCGCTGGTTAGGGCATATTCTCCGTCCTCCACCACAGGAATTGATGCATATTTCATTACTTGCTAAACCCTGTGATGGTTTGCGCCAAAAGTAAGAAGGAGAGTCTAGGCCTGTACTGATACAGTCAGGAAAGATTTTGAATATGTGGGAACCAGCGATATATGGACTTAGACGATGGAAAAAGGAATGGCTTCTACTACTAGCAATGGCGTCGGACCGAGCAGCTTGGAGGCGTCCTACCCTTGTAGCCAGCGGAGCCAGCCTAATCAGTAATGATGAGAGTTGTTAGGAGAGGAGGAAGATTCTAGAAGAAAGGTAGGTAAAATAAATCACTGCAATTTATTAGTGAAGGTGAGAGGAAAAAGGACACAGTGAGACTATTACGAAAATTACGGAAAATATGCAAAATTTATAGAAAACTTAGGTTTGTTGGTAATTATCGCTTATATGAGAAATGATCTCGCCAAAAATTCATTTAATATTTATTTTTTTCAAATTTGTCTTTTGGTTAATGTTTTAAATAATAATATTAATAATAATAATCAAATAATAATAATCTTTTGATATTTCGTTAATATCAGATATGGTCCGAATGGAGTTTGTCAAACATTACCACTAGAAGGAGTTTCAGATCGTGATTACGCGGCTCATATTCGAAAATGCCATACAAGTTCTGATTTTATTTTGGTTTTCATTTTGAAATATGCATAGTATTTGTTTACGCTTTTCAAAGATTCTGTTTTTTGCTCGAATTTGAGAAAAAATTCTAATAAACGAATTTACGCTTAAACCATGGTTCTAAAGTGATGAACGATGTTTGGCTTCAATACCGATATTTTCTTAAACTTTCTCAATCGAGAAAATCTATCGAGATTCTGTTAAAGTGTATTTACCGCAATATTTTACGAAATAATTACAGATTTCGATGGAAAATGCTCACTAGCATCACAAGAAATCGTGCGAACTAAGAATTTGTTCACGATTAACAGGTAAATTTTAAAAGTTTATTGGGTATTTTTTTTAAAGGTAGTTGATGACTTGTTCATCAGGATTGAGGTATCACAGTTTTTAGATAAAATGAGAGAAATTTAATTTTTTGGAAAGAAACTATAACTTTCTTTATTACGGAAATTCTTTATTGCATTTGATTTTTTTTTTTTCATCAATCTGATTCTGCAATCCTTATCGAATTTCTTGATTTTTCTGCACACACAAAAATTAAGAGATTAAAATTAAAAAATTAGAATCAAAAAATTAAAATTTGTCGCCAGAATTTTTATATTGTATTTATTTTACTCTTCATATTTGTGCTGGGCAAAGGTTCCATGTCATAAATGACGTACTGAAGTACATACTACAATATAGAAAAAAAATTTTTATTCTTTCTATTATCATACACAATGGTGATCGAAATGTAACCATTAAATTACTTATTAAAAGGAAATAGATACATTTCTTTAAGTGAACAGCATTCATCCTCGCTTAATGGTGCATCGGGAAAGGATACAAAGAGGAGTTCATTAAATAAAGTAAATTGAGTTACAGGTGAGGAAATAGAGAGATTGGATAGAAAGTAGATAAAAAAATAAAAGGGAAAAGAGATAAACGAGCGAATAAACAAAGATACGTCTCCTCATTGGCCTTGTTTATTTAATCGAAAAGTGCCAGTTAAAAATAGCTTAAAATGGTAAAATCATCATTTAATCACATATTGAATTGGATTTATTCTGAACTTTCAAAAATTCACTATCATTAAGAAATACTTTGACGTTTTACATATTATTCAGATGTTGATATAAGGTATCACTTAATTTTTATTTTCTGATTTTTCTTTTTTTTTGGCCAAAGAATTTGTTTTTTGGCTAGTATTTTATCGATATTTTTCAGTAAAACAAGAATATAAATATGTTCCATCTTGCAATTAATATATTACTCGTTACTCGTTATTGTTAAGGACCGTCTAATTTGTACTGTTTGAATACGCAAGCCTGTATTAGACCGAATATTGATAGACCAAGCCACATTCCTACTGAATCTCCAAGCGCGGCAATAAACGTTGCCATTGACCATACCCATTTTTGTTCCAATGTCAAGTATTCAAATGAATCCCAATTAAATTGCCTATAAAGTTTTTTTTTGGTGCACTATTTTTAGTAAGTTATTGGTATAATATGGCAAGGAAGAGATTTTAATGATAGCATCCATCGAGTACTTGCTAACATTTATTTGCTCGCTGGGATGTGGTTATTTCAGTAGCACTTATTCGTGGAGACTGCCTCTGCGATATTCACTCTCCCTCACCATTTTTGGTTTACTCGCTCTACTACATAGTCTGACCAGAATTTCCACTTGAGAGTCTGTAGCATCACCCCTTGAAAGAGAGGTTTAATCCTGCTGGGAGTAGAATCGTTGTGAAATGAGAACAAAAAACCTATATAGCCGTTTGCCAATTCATTAGTTTAAATTGAATTGGTCTACCATTTTTTTTACTCAACATTTCTGATTATGGGCTCACTCCACTGGCTATTTATTTTTGCAAAAGGTACGGGCTAGATCAAAGTGTTTGAAAGGATAGGATAGTTTAAGCAAAACACAGCCCGTTCAATGATCTTTATGAGAAGAGAGCAAAATATAACGCTTTTTACTTGATAAATGATGCTAGGCCAAAAGGGGTAGAGAGTTGTCTTACTGGAATTTATCATTTTTATTTTGAATCTCCTATTGCAATTGATTGCAATCATGCTAACATTTACATTCTTTTTCGATTTCATTTTCGGTGCTAAAATATTTAGACAGGTGATTAAGGCTTGATATTTTCTTGTTAGACTCGCCCTCTTGGTTTTAAGTGCAATGAAAAATTTTATCCAGGGAAAAATTTACCGTTTAGTGATAAAAAACAGCATCACTTAGATTTTTTTAAATGATAGGCAGAATCTGAACCTTGATGCTTGAGGTATTAATTAGAGGGAGATCTATTCTGTTATCATGGTTGCAAAAGTGATTGATTGGCATTCATCATTTCTAGTTAGGTTTGCTCCATTGTCTTTTAGAATTTTTTTCTAGGGATTCAACTGACGAAAATATTTTATTGGCTTTTTATCATTTCTTGATGCTAATCAAATCCATTGCAAATATTTTTTATAATCAAAGAAATGACTTGATAGCGCATTTTTCATAGTTGCATGTTGCATAATCATTTGTATCAGTTGATTGATCCGTTATTAAATAAGTGAGAGTGAATGTAATTGCATTATAACGGCATAACTTCTAAAAATAATATTTGAAAATCAAAATCAAATTTTTTAATATTTTTTTAGATCATATACATTAGAAAACTTTGTTGAAATTGAAAGTTGAAATATTGTAAAGTAAAAGAAATGCAGAAGCAAACTCTAATAAGCTGTAAACGGTAATGAAAATAGCAATCATATGGATTATAAAGTAAATTTTCTCGGCATATTGTATTATCGGCATCATTCTCTAACATCATAGAATGTATCTTAATTTTTATTCTTAATTCATATATCATCCCAATATATAACTAAAAAATTTTTATTATGACTGAAAAAAATTAAAGTTAAAGCTAACATTATCAATAAAAGAATTACGTTCTCGATGTTTCCCTTCGATGAGACGAGGTAAGGAACTTGGTCGTCCAAGTAAACTGACTATTATGCAGTCATTCATCATATTTGCAATATTGTTTGTGTTAAATAAGAAATTTACCCTAAAATTAACGAAAAAAAATTTATATCATTTTGAAAAATTGAAAGAAAAGTTACGAATTCAATGGAGTACATGTCTGTCGATTATATGAAAATTTTCGTTGTTTGGCAAAGGTTGAAAACAAAATTGTAAGGTCAAGATCCTTGTTGTTTTAATGGGTAATTGGATTTGGTCATCTTCATTACTGGATGCTGATTGAAATTTTTATATTATTCGTCGACTGATTTCTTCACCAACTTTTTCAGTAAATTCGATAAAAGTTATATCGAGTTGTTCGACTTTTGTTGATCATTTCTATAATAAAAAAATTGAATTCTTTTTTAGCGAATTTATTGTAATTTAAATGAGCAACAAATGAAAGTGCTAAATTTTCTTTAAAAAACCATATTTCGTTTAGGCTTATATTTTTTAAGTATTTTTAATTTAGATATTGAATGTATTAATCCAATTTGATATCTCTCGTTCCATACCATATAGTGTTGCAATCATCAGCCTCTAAAATTAATTTTGAGTTCCATTCTTTCGGTAGAAGCCTTGTCCTATCGTTCCTTCTTACAAGATCATCCTGAAAAATTTTCTACTATATTGTTACAAATTTTTATTTATTATGGTAAGCTCGTAAGGAGGAAGCTTTTGTCATTTTCATCTTATCGGGCACGAGTAGTACTTTTCCTTTCCTTTTCTATTCTATCATTCCCTATCGAAATGTTATATGCTTAGTAGTAATAGAGCATTTCAGTGCCACATCTTTAATTACCATGTGGTCTTATATATTCTTCCATCTCAGTTCTTTTTTATTAACATTTTGCTTTCTGTAACTGAATTTATTGTATCAGATAAAATAGTTCATCTTTTCCAAGAAAGCACAGAATTTTAATAGATTTACTTTTACAAATTTATTCCATGTATGATTAATAGTAAAATAACTTAAAGCGTAAGCTCGAGGTAGCAAAATGTTATTATTGCCATTTTAATAGATTTATTAAAAGCAATATTTATAATCGTATGTCTTGGATTATCGCTCTATTCAACGATCTGAAATTGGGCTTAGATAATTGAAATAATTTTTTAGGTTTATTTCTAACTAATGAAAGTAACTGAAAGTGTAACTGAAAGTAAGAATGGAAATAGATGAATTTAATTTTTTATTTAAAAGAGAAAGATATACCAATTGTAAGATATTTAATAGTAAGTATGATAAGGAAAACAATAATCAGTCTAAGTAGCTACTTTTTCATTCATTCACCTATGAACAATTCACGCCAGTTAATTTTTTCCATTTTATATAATCTTCGTTAATTCTTGGTGATTCTGTTGATCTGAAATCTTTTAAATCTGTTTTCTTACTATTGATTATCACCGATAATTTTTCCATATTGCTTTTCTTATATTTCTTACGTGTTGTTATCACATATTTTTTTAATTCTAAATGGATGGATGGAGTGTCGCTTGCACAGATTACAGGCTCGAGTCACAGCAGAAAAGTGAAAAAATGGTTAGCGCCCAGCATTTCTCATTAGATCAGCTCCGCTTAGTATGATGAGTAAGTTTTTTCAGAGCTATTTCATGATAGAAGGACAGATAGGTTGCCAGCACTACAGTCGAATCTTGCCAATAGTGCTATATAATTTTTGATTGTTTAAAAAAAAAATTAAAAATTTAAAAATAATGAAAGAAAGGAATGAGAACATTTGTTGGCTTAATTATTATTATTTATTTCTCGATAAATTTGTCGTAAAAGTTTAATTTTACTAATTTTTCTTCGTTCTTCCTCATTTGTTTGGATTATTTTATCCTTAAATTTTTCTTCCAGAATTTCGTTTTCATTGGTTTTATTCAGTCGATAATTATTGAACTTATTGAACTTTTTTATTAAATTTCTGCCATTCGATATGGTTGTGAATGATTGTTTAGGCAATTATTTTTATTGACTGCTTCATTTAGAGGAAATTTATTATCATTCGGTAAGGTGTTCAAAAAAATTTTTTTTATTTGGCTAACTTCGTGGAACCTATCATCAAAATTTTGTTGGTCCAGTAACGAAAGTGATATTGCTCGGTAAAATTTCCGAGTAGTTGGCGTTTTTTGATATAGCCATTCTTTTTCTGTGACAAATGATATATGGATTCGTTGATAACTTGATCGAAATGGGTTATTATAGAGAGGATATTCATTTGGATAAGGTTCAGTATGTTTTAGGATCTTCTTTTGCACTGAACGTTGCTTTAAATCAGAAATATATTTTTTTGTCGAATTCTCATCATCTTCTTCGTTATTTATTCCTTCCATCTTTTTTTAAAAGGATTTTTACCGTTTATATATCTGAAAAAAAAAATGGCTGATTGAATTTTATTCGTTTATTTATAATTTGAATAAATTGATTATACATTATGTTCTGTTAATGATAGTATATCTTTGAGGAAGGTTCTCATCCCTAGGATTTTTATATTTTTGGAAGAAAATTTAAGATGGAATGAAAAATCAATTAAAATTTAAAAATTCAAAAGAATTCAAAGAATTTAAATTCAAATTTGAATAATTTTGTTATAAGAACTGATCTTTTTCTTTCGTTAAAATTTATTTATTAAGTCATATTATTTCACTGGAATTTGTCGTTATTTTTGATATTATAATTAATTATATTTTAATATTGTTTTATTTTAATATTTAATATTGTTTTCGATCAAAAAATTATGGGATGTTTGGTATATAAAAATTGTTTGGTGTATAAAATATTTGAAAAAATTGATTGATTTATAAATAAAGGTTTAATGATAAATTGTTGCAGGTAAACAGGTTGGGCAGTAAGTTTTAAAAAATATATTAGAATTTTAATGATATAATGGTAAATTAATAATAAATAATAATAATGATTGATAATAATAATAAATAATAATAAATAATAATAATAAAACAAATAAAACTTATAATATTAGTAATGATGCGAATAAATAAATAAGAAAAAAATGAAATTAAGGAAAACAGAAGCGTGATGGCGAGTTTGTTGTGATAATTTAGTGATATGAAATCAAGCTTGTGCCTATGTTCTTTGTTTTTTCCTCCTATCATTTATTATTATTGCTTCTGTAGCTGTCAAAATAGAAAAATCTTTTTTTTTCTGGATACTATTTAAATTCTGATTTAAAAGCAGCTGATTTCTTATCAGAAAAAGTCTACTTTTTTCATTTTTTTTTTAATATTTGTTTCACTGGTTTCTTTTAAAAGCTATATCAAAAATTTTATGAGATTAAAAAGATTTAAATTAAAAAAATTGAAATTAAGATTTGTTGAGATAAGGTTAAAATTTCTGAATTTCTATTACAATAAATTTCTGTTATAGTTTTACACAAAACCTTTCATCAGTTCTTTCGGATCCAAAACAATCGCGTTATGAAACACAAGTGTTTTTTACGAGACATTGGGGTGATTCTTTTATTGTAAAGAATAATATTGCTGCATCACCGTTAATCCCTTCAATAACAGCGGAACATTTTAAAAATTATCTTAATACAATTGCAAATGTAAGTTTTTAAAGTTTTTATCATATTTGCTTATTTGCTTATTTGCTCGTTTTCATGACGAAATGAAGAGTTATTTTTGGTTAGGTTGATTACTTTAGCTATTAGGATTTGTCAGTAAAGCAATTTTGCTGGGGAAGGCAGGTGGGTCCCCAGTACCATCTGGATTTTTCACTAACAGGCTTTTTTCATGATGGATCATGGTGCTGTAAAGTAGAAAGTGCAGTAACCATGTATATTTAACAAATTTTATTGCAGAAACGTCAAAATTGTCTGAAAGTCAAGAATAATTTTTGGCTTACATATAACAGATATGAACAGAACAGAACTGATGTTGATGACGTTCCTACGGTCCATTTATTATCTTTTTTTGTCCTTATTCAATTTATTTTTACGAAATTTTTTTTCTTGTAATCGCACTGATCTCACTGACTCTAAGATGAAAGGCTCTTTTCATCTAACAATTAGAATCCGTTTATATTGTGATATACGCTGCTACTGCTTACCTTATTATGTTTATCTTATTTTCTTTGCAGATTCTCCTTAATCCTTATTTTTCTTTGGCTGATCCCGAAACATTCGATTCTATATTTCTTGAGCCAAAGCAGTCTGAACCGGACTGCTTACTTGTTAACGGTACTTCTGCAGAGACTAGTCAACTTAGTATCTGCTTACATGATCGTACAGATGAGCGAATATCGCAGGTTTTTTTAAAAACAATTTAAGTACTTTTTGCTAGCAGAATTTAATGTGTTTCATAAATTATTTGCTCAGAATACTTTTATGGTTTTTAAAGATTTAAATTTCTCTGATTATTATTTTTATATTAATTGCAGTTAATTGAACCATTTCGCACTGAGGATGGTCGACGATTTCGTTCATACCATACTTTGCAACAACGACTGGAAAGTTATCATGATTTAGTTGACAGCCGTCTTAATAACCAATTAGCATCCAAATCGAACGCTTTTTGGAAAACTGTAGTATCTTATAGCGGTCTTCATAGTGAGCTCGCCGATGCAATTAATAAGATTTTGGTTGTTCGGTAAATTGAGCTAATCTTTTTGTTTTAAAAAAATTATTCTAGTATTTTTTTATATTTTTAGCGTTGGTATATTTTTGACATCCATTATAGTTATTCTTAATATAGAATTTTCAGAAAGAGTTTACAATTAGTGAACGAGAAAATATGTGGTGGAATGATGAAAATTGTAGAATTATATAAAAACCGACAAAGAAATGAACAATTACTTCATAAATTGCAGGTAGATTTTTCTTAAATTTTAAATTATATTTAAATTTATATGATTTGTTTATGAATTTTTCTTGATTTTTGTTGGTTAGGATATGGCTTGTCTGCGAGCTGCTCAAACAACTGTACAAATGCTTTTAAATCAAAGTGATTTCCCCAAGGCTTTGGAATGTATCGAAACTGCTCAAGATGTTTTGGCATCGGATCTTCGAGGTGTTTTATGTTTTAGGTGCAGTTTTTTCTCTTTGTTGTTTACGTATCACCTTTAGAAAAAAAATTCATCGTAAATTTCTTTTATTTTTCATTTATTTTTTATTAGGTGAAATATTATATTTTAGTATATTATACTGAAATATTATACTCTTTTTAGGCATCTTAATTCTCAACTGCAAGAATTACGTAAGATGATTGACAAAGTACTCCATGAAGAATTTATAGCTTTAATAACCAAGGAATTGGGGCGATCATGTGAAACAGAAGCCGATGCTTCATATCAAGGAGTAAGCCTTGCATTATATTCATTAATTTTTTTTTCGTCATCAGCTGTTGAAATCCAAGTATTCACCAGCTTTTCAGGGTATCAAGATTTATGATATTTCAGCTGGTTTCTGTTTGCTTTTTATGTATATATTCTATCATGTATTATGTATGTATTATGTTCTATTATGTATGTATTAGATTCATATTTTATTTTATATTATCAAATTTTAGAATTACATTAGATAATTACTTGGTCTTAAAAGAATTTTTTTAAAGAATTCTCACATTACTGGTTAAACTCTCCATGCTAGCTTGTCGCATCAGACAAATATGTCCCTTGGCGATAGAAGAGCAGTTGAGTCGCCAGCATCACCCGGATTTTTCGATAGGTTTATTCCTGCAAGGAATAGAACCTCAGCATCTGCGCTTCGAATTGGCAACTCACTGAGCCGTTATACTCCCTTAGAAAAGTGAAACTTTATTAATCAAATGAGTTACAGGATCATTTAAACCCAGTCGTTTTGGGTTTAATGCGGCTTGGTCAATATCGCTTTGTCAGTATAATACAGCAAGAAATAGTGGAAGATCTGAAAAACTCGTTTCGTCAGGTGCCTCTTTTAAAAAAATATATTTTTTCGAAAACCTGCACATTTATCGAAACAGACAGTTCAAGAAAAACTGATTTTATTCTGAAAATTTCCAAAATGAATCGGAATTTTTATGCGAAATCCTTTTTTCAAAAATATTATAAATTTAAAAAAAAAATTAAGTTTTCTTATTCAAACTGGTTCAAATTTTAATGTTTTATTTTAATTTTATGTTTAGATTTTAAAATCTCATGTGATTATTAATGATGCCGATCGAGCTGCGGCAGGATTGGATTCATCTTCTGGTAATTTAAATATTCAGATATGTTCCTTGAATTTCGATGAGTGGTTTTCTGCATTTGACCATGTTCTTCGTGTATCCTATTATAAATGTCGACGTATGTTGAGTCTACAGAAATTGCTTATTGAAAATATTGATCGATATCAAAAATTAAATAAACCAATTACAGTGGAACCAAATTGTGATTCGTAAGATTCGACCTATATAATTATCATGATGAAAAATCTTGAAGAATTGAAACATTGAAAATCTTGAAATTGAATCTGAGGAATCTATGTATGGAATGGAATATGAAAAATATCTAATAAGCATTTCATATTATATCGTACATGTATTAACTTTTTTTTTGTAGTAACGATGATGCGAAAATATTAGATGTCTCAAATATGTTCGATGATATTGATGAAATAGATACAAAAATTGGTGAAATCCCGCTTAATTTACAATGCACAAGTTGGTTTCGATATTTTTCCATAATAAAAGCTTTTTTTAAGTTATTGAGTAATAAATTAAGCAGATGGGCGAAACTCACAACCAGATAATCTGAGCGAAACGTCTAATGTTCTGGATTCTCCTGAAGAATCAAAAAAGTTTATCCGCAGTGCTATTTCAACTCCTTTAGCTATTTTATCGATGCCTTGCAGGAATCTATCTCAGGTATTGTTGCACATGGTTTTTTGAGATATCAATGTACTTCATTTTTCTTTCAGAATTGTTTGCGATTTCAGTTTCACTCATTACTGATATAGATTCAATTTATTCTTTCTTATTATAATAAAATTTACACAGTGATGAAGTTTGATGCATTTTATATTTTTCAGGTACGGCAGTCCTTGAATTTGCTTGCGGAATATACGGCAAACTGTGCTGAAGAAAGAATTTGTAAATTGTTGGTAGCTAGATCAAAGGTAAATCAGTTTTAATCTTATTTTTTCTGTTATTGATATCATCTTTATTGTCATTAGTTTTTTATGTTCTTTGCATTTCACTTAACATTTAAAAATATCCTGTCACTAATTGAAGGATGGCTCTTTGGAATGCTTATCTGTTGCTGAATTCCAGAAGATTCTTTATGTTGTTAATGATTTTATCGAAAAATGTCGGAGTTTAGTGAATGCGAATGAAAGCTATTATTCTCCGTTGCGTCTCTGCATTGTGCAACGGAGCAGCTCTTTCATAAAGAAATTTCATGAGGATCGAAGGATAAAACTTGGGTAAGTATCCTTCAAATTTCTCCTATTCTGAAATTTTAAATTTTTAATTTTTAACATGTTTCTTGCATTTTTTATTTCAGCATCATTCTTGATTCTGAAAATTGGCGAGCAAATGACGTTCCTGAACATTTTGTGCGGCTTGTTAACGAAGCATTAAGGATAGGTAAACTCCGAGACATACCGAATTTTGGAGACCAGCAGCCTCAGTCCAAACAGCAACTTATAATTAATGGAGAAAACTTTGTGGTTGTTAGGTTATTTTTGATTTTATTAATATAATTAAAAATTTACTATTTTATGTTTCACTTTCGAGGAAATTCACTGCAAATTAAAAATTCTGAAAACTTTCCTGTGTTTTCATATTATAGTACAGCACTCATTCTTTTGCAAATGATGGGACAGTATTGCGATATTTTGGAAGTACTTCCCGATTTCGCCATCGATTTATTGATGTGTCTTGTAGAACTTTTGAAGAATTATAATAGCCGCAGTTGTCAGTTGATTTTGGGCGCTGGTGCCCTTCAACTTATTGGCTTAAAATCGATTAGCGTTCGACATCTTGGTTATTTTTAAATTGCTTTTATGTTATTGCTATCTTTTGTATTTACAATTTGGATATTTATTGATTTATTCAGGATTACCTGAGCACTTTTTATTTTTCTTCATTATTCGTTTAAAAGCGAATGTTTTTACCATATTGCAGCATTATCATCACGTTCTCTGCAACTAATTTTACTGTTCATTCCTTATGTTAAGGCACAATTCAATTCATATCTTGACGCGAGCAGAAGTAATCATTTCCGTTATTTGGATCAGATTATGAAGGTACTCGAATTCTTTATTGCTCTTTAATTTTTTATTTATTTTATTTAATTTTTATATATATTTATATATATATATATTTACTAAAAATTAGAAATGCGATCCGGAAGAGAAGTAATCCTTATCTTTGAAATTCAAGCAATTCGAGGAAATTTATTATATTTAGCAAAAATTGGAAAAGTTGTGGAAGAATTAATAATTTACACAAAAAAATCTTGAAAAATGTAAAGTGTTTAAGCAATTTTGAATAAATCAGTTATAAGTACAAAAATAGCAATGGTGTAGAAGCACTTTGCAAATAAACTTTAGAAACAGTTCTTCTTCTTCTTCTAACAATTTTTTTTAGGCTAGGCTGGTTAAGCTAGTTGCGCTAGCTACAAGGACATGATATATTCAAGCTCTTAAGTTTGACGCTATCGCTTACAGTAATAGAAACCATTCCTTTTTCATCCATATATCACTGGTTCCCCTTTATGTTCAAAATCTTTCTTGATTGTATCAGTCCAGGTCTTGATTTGCTCTCCTCCCTTTTAACGCCAATCATCATAGAGTTCGGCAAGTAGCGAAATATGCGTCAACTTCTGTGGTGCCCCTAACCAGTGTGATGATAATATTAATGCAGGTGGCATTTGAGCGGATGCTATCATATGAAATTTTATCCGTTCTGCGAAGTGGTAAAATGTCATAGAAAGGTGTGGTTAAATGGTGATTTCGCGACGGTTCCATAAAGATTTCGTCAACCGAAAAAATTCCCAACTGTCGTTATCCGGGTTGTGATTTCATCTTTTTCCTGTCATTTGGGACCAGAGTGGCTCCAAGATATTTAATGTCGGGTACTTTTTCAACCGGTAATGAATTGACAGCATCTTGTATATAAGATGAAAACACTTTCATTTTATTTGCATTGGTTTTGAGTCCGATTTCTCTCTGCAGTTTTTGACACATTGTTTAACATTATTTGCATTTCATTTCATTATAACTGTCAGCAAAGAGGACTACATCATCAGCTATTCAAGATCTGTGAAGCTATGCTCTGGACTAATTTGCACTACCTCTTTTGTACTGACAAGCGATGCCCAGTTTATCGCATAGTTGGATATTGTAAAGGAAAGGACGCTTAGTTTATGGACACCAGTTTTTATTTCGTAAGGGTCAGTTAGTTCCCCATACACACAGATCTGTGCCAAGGTATGCTGATAAGATGCCTGTATGAGCCAAATGATCTTTTTTGGGACGCCATCGCATTCCATCACTTTCCAGAGCGCTGTTCTGTCAATCGAATCGAAGGCAGCAGTAAAATCGATAAAGCAAGTGACTGTAAGTTGCTGGTATTTGAAACGATGTTCCAGCATTCTTCTTAACGTAAATATCTGGTCAGTACAACCGCGTACCGGTTTGAATCCAGCTTGGTTAGGATGCATTGTTATCTCGTTGCCATGAATTGCCATGAATCTATTTAGCGGAAGGAAAGTGAAAATTTTTCCGTAGATGTGTAATAGGCTGAATCCTCGCTAATTGTCGCAATACTGTTATCTTTTTTACTGGAAACAAAATTGCTTTGCTTCAGTTTTCTGGTATTATTTCCTTTTGCCATACCAGAGAGTGCATTTGTTAGTGAGTTATGAACGAGAATAGACAACATTTGAAGAGTTCGGTCCGAAGACCATCTTCTTAGGGAGTTTTATTGGCCTTAGAAAATAGTTCACATGTTTCATTAGAAAAATTTATTGATTTCAGCCATTATTTTCGAAAATACACTTTTCTACAATAACAGGTAAAATGTAGGAAAAATTAGAAGGATCTGACAGGACTTTGATTTTACAGTCTTTATTGAAACAAACAAATTTACAATCCGCTGCGATTTCTGGTGATGTTTTTGCATGTGCTTATCGTCAAAAAGAGCAACAGTGGCTTTTTACACCAGGTTTTCATAGATAGAGCTGTGAAAGTTGCAGTGGGATGTTGGTTACATTGGTTTACCTCAATTATTATAGTGAAAATTGGTCGTTTTGTAGTTGGTTGGGTATTTTATTTAAAAGATTTAAAAAATTATTTTTTTGCAGGATTATAGTAACCATATACAGGAAATTTTGAATAAGCTGATTGGTGTTATAGACCATCATTTAGTTGTACAGCTGCAGTCGGTATTTTTGAATTACATATTTTTTAAAATGTATTTCATTATAAATTAGAGCATCTTAAGTTAATCAGCTTTATAATTAAGTTTCCATGGGCTGTTAACTTTTTTATTTGTAAAGTTTTTGTCTGAGGCTTTTACTTCAATGATTTTTAAAGTGAAAATGCCAAATAATCAAAGCAATATTTAAGATATTAACTTTTGTAGTGGGAGGTGAAAGCTGTAGTACCTTCTCCAGCATTTATGCAGATTTTTAAGCATTTGAAGAGGTTCTATAACGGTCTCGTGGGTGTTATGCCGGAAGCTGTAATTAAGGTTTGTTAATCTAGTTATTCATTTTTAAGCAAAGGAATGTTTCGATTTTCAAATTCAACTTTGGGAGATAATTATTTAATAGAAAAAGTTATTTTTGTTTCAGGAATTATTCCTTCGTGTGCATGAAAATTTCAAAAGAAATTTGAAGGAATACCTAGATGAAGTAGGCATCACACCGCATGATTCTCTAACATATGGGTGAGTACAAATTGCTTTGAGGTCTTTTTAATCTGTCAAAATGAATTTTGAATTGCAATTATGGCATTTCAGCTTGGTCAGTCAAGAATATTTGTATTATTTAAAGAGCTTGCAGTCATTAGGCTGTTGTTGCGATTTCAAGGATGAATCCATTAGCGAAGCTCTTTACGGCCATAAAATTGAAAAATATCGACATTTGTAAGCATAATTGGTATGATAAAGCTTGCCTAGGCCTATGTTTTTTTTATACATTCCTGATGGATCAATCTATTAAATTGTGTCGATTAAATTGTTTATTTATTTTACTATGGAAACATTGTTTTCGCAAATTTTCATATCGTTTATAAACGAGTGATTTTTTTTGCAGTAATTCAAATACGATTTCTAGCACCTCCAGGTCATTGGTACAATTGGTGTTTTCTTTTATTATTGTCATTTATTTATTTTAATATATCTATCAGCGATTGATTGATGACTTTATTTGATCTCACCAAATGGAACAGCACTTTACATGGAACTTTCTGTTTTGTTGTTAGTATAAATTATTGAAGTGGTGCTGCTTTTATTTTACATATTTTGGACCTAGTAACTATTAAGTCATATTACATTGCAAAAAATTTCAAATAGATGCAGAGATACAGATATAGTTTTTTGTAAGAGAGATTTCTTTTTCTGTCGACTAGTCCAGTGCTATTTTGGATATTATTTTACAAAGTTTTTCGGTTCATTATTTGGCATAAACATAGCGCTTTTTCTAAAAGCGCTCAGTATTTGCAGTCAGGCTCGCTTAACTGACATGACTCAAATTTTAGCAGTAGGCATCACGTTTTTCTTCGTGATGGAAGTGAGTTGCATCCGAATATTTGAAAGATAGGTCTACTCTTGCAGAAAGATTCTGAGCACCTTAGCTTCGAAGTGAAATAACCATTTCATTCCTTTGTAGGAAATTATCGTCAATAGAGTTTACCTTTCAATAAAATGAAATGAAACTAGAGCAAATATCAATGATAAAGCTAATAGTGCCGTAGTGTACAGGAAGGTTTCTGTAAAATAGGTGGTCATATCTCCCTCAATAGCCGTTGGAAGAGATCCGTGCTAGATAGTCGTTCCTGTCGCGGCGCTGTACTCAAAAATAAGCAGAATCTATAAGACGATTGAGGGCCAATCAAAGCGTGGCTGCGGCCGCAGTTTATCGTTCGATTCTTCTTTCACGATTCAATTCGATTTTATTGGTAGGTGATTGCTGTGCTGAGGGTGTGCTAACAGTTCTAATTATATCTTTAATGTAATTTCAGTTGCGTTTTTTGTTTATGTCGTTTTGTAATATGTTGTAATGTAATATGTCATCGTCTAATTTTACTGTTGTATTATATTGTTTTTATATTGTTATTGTTATCTAAATAAAGGTTACCCAAGTTTATACGTCGGACGATAATTAATTACCTTAGTTTGAGATAAACATCGAACGATAATTACGATACTATAAAAAAGAACTAACGATCTAATATAATACAGTCAATAAGAGAATAATAAAATCTTTTTTTGTTACAGACGCTAAAGCGGTCTTCATTGATCTGACTATATAATGGTTCGAAACTACATCCGCTGAAAATTGACAATTCTCATGAAACAGCGTCTCCTGAGATCTTCAACTCTCTCTATTAAACTGGAACATTCGGGGACAGTGAGCGCATTTCAAATCGAATTATTGAAACAACTCAGTGATGCAAATATCAATGACTTTTCTGGAACGACAGATGAATACTGGTCACAACTAAAGGAATTCATTGAGATCAGATTTAACCATGATGCGCCATCTCTTGCTCCGGGCATAGCTAATTTGTTCATTGAACCATACCTTTGTAACTGCGAATCGCCAGAAGAAGAGGAATTTATCTCCGTTATCCATAAGTCTAAGGATTCAAGGAGAAGACGATATCCAAGGTGAGCTCTTCAAATGTTGCCTATCACTCTTGATACCGTGTCTTCGATAAATGCACTCTTTGGCATGGATGAAAGAAATAATACCAGGCAACTAGAACAAAGCAATTCTACTCCCACTTCCAAGAAAGGTACCAGGACACACTGTAACAGTTATTGAGGAATTTGCCTGTTAGACGCTTCAGCAAAATTTTTTACTTCTCTTCTAATCAATAGAATTATGGCAATACGCGACAGCATGCGCCCTAATCAAATTGGATTTAGACCCGGGCGCAATTGTGTTGACCAGATATTAACGTTAAGAAGGATGTTGGAACATCGCTCTAAACATCTTCAACCCACCCGTTATTTCATCGACCTTGCAGCCACCTTCGATTCAATTGATGGAACGGCGTTTTGGAGGGGTGATATAGAACATGACTGCATTACAGGGAAAATTATTCGACTCATTTTATCAGCGCATATGGGCGTCTATGCGGAACTAACAGTCTCCTTGGAAATAAGAACTAGTGTCCGTCAAGGCTGCGTCTTTTCCCCTACAATTCAATTATGCGATAGACTGGATAATGGACACCACTCGTTGGTACTCAAGAGGTGTCCAAAATATCAGTCCAGAACATCGTACTACAAATCTGGAATATGTTGATGATGTAGTGGCAATACACGAGAGCAAGAGCGCCTTAGTCAAACTGTATTCAAATCTGGGCGCTATTATGCTTGCCAAATGTTTTAAGAAAGTTGTTAGTTTTTATGAATAGAATGATCTTTAAATATTTTCAACACACTGTTACTTGATTCATCGATTTTGCAGCTGCCTTCGATTCAATTGATAGAACAGCGCTTTGGAGAGTTAATAGAACGCGACTGCGTTACAGAGAAGATCATTCTATTCGGAAAGACATTTATGAGCGTACGTAAGGTAGGTATGTATATGAGGAGCTGTCAGACTCATTCAAAATGTACATTATTTGTCGTCACTCAAAAAATGTACAAATCAGTCCAGTGCATGATGTAATCCTTTTTGCTAACAATTATGATGAAATATAAATAATGCTAAACAATATGTCGATAACTGCAGTGAGAATCGGAGGTCAATGTAAATACGTCTTTTCGTATATGCAAGAAGCTGACAAAATGCCTCCATTTTATAAATTGATTGCCTATTGAGGACTTTAAATACCTTGGATCCACTCTAATACCGAATGCAAAAGACGAAATTACAACTGGGATAACGGCTAGAACTGCTAGACATGGTCAATGAGAGTGCAAGATATTATGAAGTCTGCCTTTGACCACTCATGTGTGAGGTATATTTTACGGATCCGCTGAGCAAATAAAATCGCACATGATTGTATCCACCTTCGGTCAAATATCATTAATAATATTATCTTATCATTATCATTAAATATCATTAATAAATACTTTGCCTCCACTCTATTACCAAATGGTCAGGCAAAAGACGATATTACAACTCGGATCACGGCAGCTAGAAATGCATTCTTCTGGTTAAGAAGCCTTCATGAAGCTTTCATGAAATCGCCATAAAAACGAAAGTCTGCATCTATATCTGTGATTCGTTCGATCTTTCTATATGACACGACCAATGAGAGTGGAGGATATTAAAAAGTTATCTGCCTTTGACCCCTCTCTACGTCTAAGGTACATTTTACTGGTCCGTCGAGCGGATAAAATATCATATGATTATATACAGCTTTGTTCAAATACCACTCGCATTAACAGTACCATCACAGAGTGTTGCCTTCTCTGATTAGGGCATATTCTTCGTCGCGCACTACACGAGTTGACACTTCTTAACTTGCTCAATCTTATGGTGGCGTCAAAAGCGCGGTGGACCAGTCAAAACCTGGGCTGATAATTCTTCCAGCAGCTCTTTTACTGGTTAGATTGGCTACAAGGGTAAGACGTATCCAAGTTGCAATCGTGAATGCCAGGTCCACATGCTTGACGCCACTCATCACGGAATTTAGCAAATAACGAAGTGTGTGTGAAGTCTTGTGGCGGGCAACGAAGAACGCATCCTAACCAGCCAAAATGACGTTCTGTGATGGGATTATTCTATTCTATTTTCGTGAGCGGTTATGTTAGTCATTCTCTCTGTTTTTCATTATTTTATTGTATTGTGCTTCGCTAAATTATAGAAGGAATATATTAATCTTATTACATTCGTCTGAAAGATATTCTTTTCAAAAGTATATTGATCTTATTGTTTTATACCGTTCACTTGTAAGATAAGAAGAAATTCCAAATGGGACCGAAAAAGGTAGCAGCTTATGGGGCCATTTCCAATAATGTCGAGGATCTGAGGTCACAACTAGCTTCCATTACTGAGAAATATGAAAAACAACAAGATCTAATTATGCGTTTAACTAGATCTGTTGAAATACTTACAAAGGTCAACGAAGAACTTAAGGATGATATTAAATTGAAACTGAACAAGTATTGGAAACCATTGAAGAATATTTTGAAAAGAAGGAAAAAGA